ATTATTATTATTATTATTATTATTGCCCTGGACAAAAAGTCTCCTGAATAAATCCTTGTCAGTGGGAGAAATCCCAGACGGAGCAGTGAAGGGAAACTAGAATTGAGCAGAACTACGTAGGAAGGCAAGGGCCAGGCTGGGTGAATACATCTTTGAAATTTGAAAAATGTAGGTAGGTTATGTTGTATAATACATCCTAAAATTATTTACAATGTGTTTTAACCCCAAAATATCCTGAATTGTTTTACAAAATTAAATGATTCATTAAATAAACAAGTGAACAGGGTGCATAACACCCCCCCCCCCATGATCACGCCCTGTGAAAGTGATGTTGACAAGTACAATGGAAAATTTAATTTGTTGCACAAAGTGATTTCTGTAAATCTTTCCTCTCCAGCCTGCAGCTCCTTCACAGAGGTTTAGTAAGGTTTAGAATAAATAGATTTAAACCTCATAGTTTTCAGAGTGTATTGTATCCTGCACAGATTCAAAGCACCATAAGCAGCTCCCGAACACAACCAAGCCTCCTTGTTTCACTTTAGGTGTTTGTTTGTTTTTTTCTTCTGTGTCATTGACAGATCAGATGGAGCTGAATGGACTTGTTGGCAAAAAGCTCCATTTTTGTCTCAAAGGACATTCTGCCAGAGGCAATATGCATTTTAGCAAACCTATTTGACTATTAGGTGTGCTCCTCGATTGTCTTCTTTGGTTTAGTGACTGATCATTTGATCTAACACTAATTTATCTGGACCTTGTAGTTCACCTTTAATCTAACTGGAAGTTGTTCTGGGCTCTTTGGATATCTCATTTATAGACCAGGAAGTGGGGAAAGATTAGTAAGGAGGAAGCTCAGAAAACTTTAAAGAGGATGAGAGAAGGGAGGCAGGGTTGATGACGCACCAGTGCAGATGTCTGAGACGACCCTGTAGTTTTTAATTCAATCATTTAACGGCATTTTGACAGTGAGAAAATGTCTGAGGAACAGAGAAGAAGTGTGCTGATGCCAAATTTTGATACCGATGCAGTCAGAGAGTGAGGACAGAGGAGGATGACTAAAAAAAGTTCTGCTAACTTCAAATAAATAACAATTTTTTAGCTCTTTATCTGAAGAAATCTAACTTCTGCTGTGTTGAGACAAGATAAATTAGCCTGCTAACATGAGAAACCCAACTTTTTGTGACAAAGGTCTGGGAAAAAGGAAAAATTAGCAATAAATTTTGCAAACAATGCCAACTCTCAGCTTCCAGCTCTTCTAACAGTTTTCTCTTTCTCTTCCTGGCGAGTTGCAGTTTTGGTCTGGTTCTTTACACAATTTAAACAAATATTAGGGAGAAATCAGAGAGAATCATAATTACCTCACATCTGGTAAAAGGCAGAGGCACTTTTATAACTGGTCTCAGAATTAAGTGTAAATATTCCACCAGGAGGGCTGAAAGCAACAAAAAAAAATCATGTCAGCAACAAAAAGGCACATAAAAAAACAAGGAAAAGGAGGGATGAGGTACCTGCTGAATAGATGAGTGAAATCGGCACAGTTATGGTCGGTTGGCTACGGCCGAGCTTCTCTAACTGCGAGGGAAAAAAAGTACAGGAAGTGAAATTCGCGTCAACTTTTCACAATAAAATATTTTCGTAACTTTTTGCATGTGGTTCAGAATATTTTTACATGTGTGTCTTTAGCTTTTTCTAACAATAAAGAACATCTGAGGATTTTAACCAGAGGTCTATGAAGTACTTGAGAAAAAAAAAACTAAGTAAAAGTAAAATTACATGAACAGAAAATGACTTTGGCAAAAATAAATTTCACTGATGAGAAAAATACTCAAATAAAAATTATAAAACTGTTCACAAAAATTGGGAAAGTAAAAGTAAAAGTACTTTTACACACTCTATAAGAAATAAACTGTCGAATTTACTGAACCAAACTGGTTCCATTATTACTGGTTAAGTCAATTGAGCAATATTTGTATATACTTTGCTCAGTTTACTCATCTAGGCTTAGTGGAGCCAGTTGATTTGACTTTGTTGAGTAAATTCATCACTTCATTTTTTAGAGTGCAGTCTTCTTTCATGATGAGTTCAAACATACAGCAGGTAAAATAAGTATTGAACACGTCAACATTTTTCTCAGTAAATATATTACTAGAGGTGCTAATG